TGTATTCATGTGTAATCACTGTATTCATGTGTAATCACTGTATTCATGTGTAATCACTGTAATCATGTGTAATCACTGTAATCATGTGTATTCACTGTAATCATGTGTATTCACTGTATTCATGTGTAATCACTGTATTCATGTGTAATCACTGTATTCATGTGTAATCACTGTAATCATGTGTTATCCCTGTATTCATGTGTAATCACTGTATTCATGTGTTATCCCTGTATTCATGTGTAATCACTGTAATCATGTGTTATCCCTGTATTCATGTGTAATCACTGTATTCCTGTGTAATCACTGTATTCATGTGTAATCACTGTAATCATGTGTAATCACTGTATTCATGTGTAATCACTGTATTCATGTGTATTTACTGTATTCATGTGTAATCACTGTAATCATGTGTTATCCCTGTGTTCATGTGTAATCACTGTATTCCTGTGTTATCCCTGTATTCATGTGTATTCACTGTATTCATGTGTTATCCTTGTATTCATGTGTAATCACTGTAATCATGTGTTATCCCTGTGTTCATGTGAATCACTGTATTCATGTGTAATCCCTGTATTCATGTGTTATCCCTGTATTCATGTGTAATCACCGTATTCATGTGTTATCCCTGTATTCATGTGTTATCCTTGTATTCATGTGTAATCCTTGTATTCATGTGTAATCCTTGTATTCATGTGTAATCACTGTAATCATGTGTAATCACTGTAATCATGTGTTATCCCTGTGTTCATGTGTTATCCCTGTGTTCACGTGTAATCACTGTATTCATGTGTATTCACTGTATTCATGTGTAATCACTGCAATAATAATAATAACAATAATAATAATAACGAACTTTACATTGGTCTCCCTAGAGGCCGTACAAGAGAATTTAACGTAAAAAATATTACAAAGTTAATTAACTTCAGCTACTTTGCAAAGAGTTGATTTCAATACAGTAATAAAATTATCTATTTATAACTATATGTTGTATATGCAAAAATCATAATTTTTAATTTTGCGTTTAAACGCATGGAGAGATTCCTCCTCCTTAAGACTTTTTGGTAGCGACAGTTCCAAAGTTTTGTGTCGGCCGAAACTATTCTTTAGATGTTCCCCACGAACTTTAGGTAGTTGTAGGTTTTTAAATGAATTGCGTAGACTGTAATGGTTTGACCCMACCTCCTTTTGAAAAAGATCGACCAAGTAAGGAGGGGCAAAGCCATTAACAATTTTAAACATCWTGACTGCCTTGCTCACAAGTCTAGAAACACGCAAAGGCTTCCAGTTCAGGTCCTGGAAGACATCTCGTGCTCTGACTTTATCATAAGGAGCACTAGTTATTCTGGCAGCACGATTATGTAATTTTTGGAGTTTGTCTGCACGTTTTTGATCAATCCCATCCCATACTAGAACGTGACAGTCCTAAGTCAGATGTTGGTCTAAATGGACTCCCAAACATTTTACCGTGTCGGCTCTATTTAAAGGAGTTCCATTAATGGAAAGCTCTAAGGAGTCTA